AGACCATTGGGCCAAAAGAGAGCAGGAGCCCCAGAAGTGACAGGATGGTTCCTGGGCTCTGAAGGGGCCCCCGAGTCTCCATCAGGCATCTTTTCTTTGCAGACTGCTCAGCACTATGGTTTCGTTAGACATAGCAGAAATAGTAAATGTATGGGAAAATCCTGGTATCTACACATCAGACCTAGATTTGCGCAAAGTTAACTTTTAGCAACTTGGCCTTAAGTAATAGTTTTGACCCCCACACCAGGCTCAGCAGCCCCCCTTCTCCCTCCCCTCCCTGGGAAGGGGCCTCTGCTGAGGCCTGCCTGTCACTCTGTGCAGGCTTCACACACTCACCCCTGGGGCTCACCCAGAACAGCGGGCTCCGTGGGGGAGCCCCTCCTTGTATCCCCTCCCTGTGCCTGTCATAGCTCTGTCCCCACTGGGGTGAGACCTCAGGTCCCTCCCTGCACAGGGACCAGCCCCCCTGCATTGCTAGGACGCGCCTGCAGGGGGCGCCGCTCACAGCGCCCGCTGGGGGTTTTCTGCTCTTCTGAGAAAGATGAGGAGGACATGCTTGGAATCTCCAGCTGGAGGGAGTGGCCGGGCCAAGTCCCTGTCCCAGCAAGGGCAGGAGCTGCCTGGAATCCTGTGTTCTGATCCAGCAAAAGTGTCTTGTACATGTCAAGGGCCCTGCGTGTCCTTGTTGAATCATCTCAATCTCTGTTTGATTCTGTTTCGTCAATGTGTCTTTTTATTGTGGGATCAAAGTCCTTTGTTATTGAATAATTTATAATTTGAACTTCATGAAATGAAGAGTGCTGAAATCTACAAAAAGTGTATCCAGCAGTATACATGGTTCCACCTCACTCTCTGGCCAAGTGTCACAGGCCAATTCCCCATAGGCAAGGATTCTCCAATTTTCATTCTAATTCATGCTCTTGCCCACCAAGCACATAGATGACTCTTGCCTGTGATAGTAGCAGTGTTTGCTCCCCATTTCTTGGAGAAAATGAGTCTGGGAGAGTCAGAGGGGAGGTCCCAACAAGGAAGTGGAGGGCAGGGAAGCCTGATTCCTCAGCCTGCGTCTGCTCCTCTGGGCAGGGGGACCCGGATGTGGCCTCCTGTCCCTCTGCATCCCTGGGGGGTGACTGGGCCAGCAGGCAGGGGTGTCTTCCAGCCCATAGTTTGGATGACTGGATGCTTCCCAGAGCGGGGTGCAGTGCTGTGCTGGCAGAGACTGCGACCTCTCAGATCTGCTCACAGTTCCTCTCCGCCCCAGGCTGTGGGCTCCCTGCCTCTCGCTCCTAAGCGTCATGGGGAGGATCATCAATGAAGTGAATACTCGCCCTGGCGTGTGTCCCCCCTGGTGAGTGGGTTCCACACCTGAGGGGTCACACGAGACTCAGGCCAGCAGGGGGAAGGGGCTGCAGCCCTGGTGGTGTGGATGGCATCCTGGCAGTACTGACCCTCCTCTCTTCCTCCTCAGCTGCGAGGGCTCCCCAATCTGTGAGAGCTGGGTGGTCACCGCCACCCACTGCAATGTCACATGAGAGATTAGGGTGGTTTTGGGAGGGGCGTGGCACCTCCTCCTCCCTCATGTCTCCTTCTCTTACATCCCACAAGGTTGCGACTGGGCTGCTCAACTGGCACGCACACATGAAGGATGTTCAGTTCCTGAGGTAGCCAAGGTAAGCACACCCACGGATGCCAAGGAGATGCTTAGGGCGACCAGAGAAGCCCTTTCATCTGCTTGAGAGACAGGCCTCAGCAGATGGGGCTCAGATTCTCCCTGGGCTCCTCTGGTCTGGGTCCCCTGAATGGGAGCCTAAAGGCATTTGTCTCCTGGAACCTGCAGGACCTCTGATGCTTCCAGGCTTCACACCTCCTCCCCGCCACTCCCACAGGTTTTCAGCCACCCTGACTATTACCAAAATTCCATCCACAATACCATCGCCCTGGTGAAGCTGGTGAAACCCGCCGACATCTCTCAGAGAGTATCGCCTGTAACACGGCCCAAAGCTAGGGAAAATGTCCCTGAAGGGACCCTGTGTGCCATGACTGGCATGGCCTCCACCAATCGCAAGGGTGAGTGACCACGGCCTCATCACCCGGGAGGGGACTGGGACAGCTGCCTGACCACGGGAGGGACGCGAGCGGTGGCTCCTGGGATTTTGAGTAACTTGAACAGTGGCTTTCATCTCGCCGCTTATATTTACAACACTCTTCCTGCAACTCCCGACCATGCATCACCCAAGGGTGGTGATGTCATTGATCATGGGGTCCTGGGAAGTGGCTCGCTTCCCAGGGAGACCCACGTGGCCAGTTTGGAGCGTGGAAGTGGAACTGGAGCCGGGGTTGGGGGTGCAGAGACCACAGGGCAGGGAGGGTTCTGTCCTGCCAGACACTGTTGTTACTTAAGTGGGTGCCCCCTCCAGCTGGAGTCTCCCCAGACCTGAGCAGGTGGAAGGATGCTGCCATCCAGACCTGTCCAGGGGGCAGATGTCCAGGGCAGCACTGGGGCCCGAGTCCAGCCTCATGTCCCCACCCCAGGGCAGCTCTGCCTGATGGTCACCTCCAGGTCCTGAGTCCTTCTGCCCAGGCCAGGGCTACCCTGCTGCCCTTCCACAGGAAGCACCACACAATACAGGTAGGGGCAGTGTGAGGGGGCTCCCTGTCACCCACAGAGTATGTACTAATCCTCTTTCAGTGGAGGAGATTCTGCCCACATACAGGCTGGCCACACCAGGCCACACCAGGCCGGGCGGACAGTCTAAAGGGATGACCAGAGTGATAGAGTCTAGATACGCTGCCATTCCAGAAAACAGAATGGGAGGGACTGAAAGGACAGGGGGGCCACTCGAAAGCCCTGGAAGGAAGACTGCCAGCCTCAGCAGGAGCCTGCTTGCCCCTACTGTGCTCAAGCGGACAGTGGCCTGGCTCCCAGGTGCCAGGTCAGAGACATTTCAGACCCACTGTGGGCCACGGACTCACATCCCACCCCAGGGGTGCTGTAACATGTGGACAGTCCAGCGGGGCAGTGAGGGCGGCGAGATTCATGGGGCCTCAGAATCCTCCATCTGGGAGTTCTTGAAAGCTGACAAGCTCTGACTTCCTCTGGTGCCTCTGTTTTTCCAGACATTCGGAATTCTGACACATTGCAGCAGGCTTTCCTGCCCCTTCTGTCCAGTGCTGAATGTGGGACACACTGGCAGAGGCAAATCACAGATGACATGGTCTCTGCCGGGGCACAGGGTGCTACTCCAGGCAGGGTATTCTCTGGCTCTGCCACCGGCCGGCACTGTGTGACATGCCAGGCCAGAAGGGCCACCCCTTGCCTCGTGTCCACTCTCAGCCCCTGCCCCATGCCCAGGGAGGCAGGACCAGCACTCACAGACCCCCTGAAGGGGCCCTCTGCTGGGTGGGTGGCATGAGATTGTCACAGACCTCATGAGGTTTAGTCTCACCCAGTCGCAAAGTGGCCCCTGTCCTCTGGGCCTGGCAGAGTGGCAGCCTCTTGGAGGTGGACGCTGGAGCTGGTGACTGAGGCACCTCTCACCACCTTGCACCCGCTGGGTGCTGCCCGCTCAGAGCACCAGGGGCCTGGAAGCATTTCAGATGCAGAGGAGCCTTTATCTCCCGCAGGGCGATTCCGGAGGGCCCCTGGTCTGCAAGAAGAACGGAGTCTGGAAGCTGGTGGGCATCTTGTCCAACGGCAGCATCAATGGCCACAATAATTTGCCTGTCGTTTGCCCTTGTGTCACTGCGCTCCTACCCTGGATTCGTGATATCATGACCAAGAACTAAGCCTGCATCCTCCCATCCAGGGCCCTTTATCCCCAATAAAGCCCCTGCACAGAGCCCTGACTGCTTGTGTCTGTGACTGGGGCGGTGGCTGCAGTGCCCCTGTCCCCCACCAGGGGGCGGCGTGCCCCTCCCTTTCCACCTCAGAGCCCAGAACCCCTGTTTGTCAGGAGCTGAGGCCTTTGGGTCTGGGCCTCCCTGCTCAGGGGACCCCTGGGGAGAGTCCACACACCTGCTGCAGCCTCAGTTCTCAGCCTGGTTTAGCATCTCTGGCTGCTGGTTTTACCCAAGGCGATTTGTGGAAGGCAGGAGTGCTCCAGGCCAGGCCATATGGATCCTCCCAGCAGATAGGAACTGGTAGAAAAGGGGCCACCCAGGCAGGCTTGTCCCTCCCAGACACCCTGTCTGCCTTGGACCCCTGCACCCCCACCCCAGACCACCTGCCTGCTCTACCTCCCTTCCTCTGACCCAGGTCCTCCATAAACTCAGCCCAAGGAACAGTTTGGGGAATGTTCCTTCCCAGACCACAGTGGGGTACCCCATCCTTTCCGTTCCCCTGGTCCATGCATTGTCTGGAGACGGCAGCGTATCCAGAGGCTTTACCACTAGGTCACCCCTTGGCTGGCTTCAGGGGCCCGGGCTCCCGCATGGAGGCGCCAGGCTGGTCTTTGTGGGCATCACAGCCCCGGCCCTGTGGCTGGACGGTCACATCTGGGGCCGCTGGGAAATGGTGGAGTCCAGATCTCGGTCTCATTACCCCGCAGTGCTGCCGGGAGCTGTCTCCCAGCTTCCCCAGAGACCCCGGGTCAGGTATGCAGAGGACACCAAGGGGTGTCCACACTGTCACACTCACTTTGATGTTCAAGTTAATGAACTTGGAACATCCCACTGCACCCGAGTGTACACAAACTTAGAGCTTCATTGCCCACATAACTCATGAAGTTAAATGAAACAGTTTTGCGCCCATTGCCACGAGGTTCCCATGTTGTCCAGGAGCCTTGAGGTGCAAGGTGACCTGCAGCCTAGGAGGGGGGTCCCGCCCCAGTACTGGGGGCCTCGCCCCGAGCAGGGCACCACAGGACAACACGAGCTTCCCCAAGCTCACCCCCCCTGCTACCGGCCTGACATCATTCACGTGCTGGGGCTGCTTGTCGATTAGGGGATCTGAGTTAAAGGAATAAGACTTTCCTGTCCTTTGCCCACTTCTCAATTTTTGTGTGGTGCATTCAAAGCTCGGTGTGTATGCTGAACATTAAACGCTTCTCAAATTAATGATTTGTAAAAATCTTCTCTGAATGTATGTGTCTTCTGTTTTCCATCATAATGCATGTTGATGCCCTGAAAATCTTATTTTGATGTGTCCAAGATACTGTCTGTGGTTTAAGTGCCAGAGCTTCTGAGTCACTCCTAATTTGACAGGATTCCTTTGAATATCTGGACTGGAGCTTAGCCTTGGGTCCTACTGACATCTTGACAATACTCAGGCCTGTCATGAAGATGAATGGACATGCTGGGCCTGGGGTCGGCTGCCCCACCCCCTCCTGCAGGAGCTGCAGGGGTGTGGGCAAGCACGCCCTCAGCTACAGGCCTCTCTGAGTTGGCCACAGCTGAAGAGAATACCCTGGACCAAGGCTGAGCCTCCTCTTTGGGTGTCCACACCCTGATCGGTCAGTGGGTTAAAGGCCCCTCTGCTCACCCAAGCTGAGCCTGGAGAGCTCAGCTCATGCCTGTGCCCCCCGCCCCCGGCTTCCCTTCAGGGGTTGGGACCAGGGGCTCTCCCCACACCTCCAGCTGCTGGTCTTCATGTGGAGGCCTCTTCCCAGGGCCTGGAGCAGAGACTTTGGCACCAGAACTGGGCCCCAGAAAACAGGTCCTAGGTGGGCTTCTGGAGTAGAACCCTGCCTGGCAGCTGGCAATGAGGACCCTTCACTGCAGGGGACGCACCATCAGGTGAGAGTGAATATGGGGAGACTCCCCCCTGACAATGGTGTCTGTGGGTGCCCTATGGGGGTCTGAGTGAGCTGCTGGGGAGGAGGCTGAGGGGGCTGGGGCGGTGCTGTGCTCTTTGTCACAGAGACCTTGTTCCATGCGGGCGCTCACCTCAGGGTTGGTGGGGAATAGGGACCCGCTGGCTCCAAAAGCAACCGCCTCAGGTAGCACACGGGAGCAGAGGCAGGCTGTGACCTGGCCTGGGCCTCGGGGCCCTCACTGTGGTGGAGCAGCCCCACAGGCTCTGTGGCCAGGAGGGGACGTTCACGCAAGACTTTAAAATTTTTAGTGGTTTAATCAATGTTGTCTCAGTAACAAAAATGATCAGAACATAATCAGCACCACCTCATAGATTGTGAAAGAAAACAGTCCATAATGTCATCATATACTTCCTTAAAGTAAGGAACCTATCATTTTGAAATTGAGTTTTTTGTAAAATGCCTGTATTTTTTTTTAAAGATTTATTTATCCATGCATACAGAACTGGGGTACAGGCCAGAGGTGCAGGGGCAGTGACAGGATTCACTAGAGACAGAGCGGGGAGCAGAACAGGCACACCAATGAAGTACACCGCTGAGGGGAGCAGGAGAAGTCTGCTGTGCCATATGGTCACCTCCAGGCTGTGCTTTAACCTGCTGCGCCACCAGGGAGGGCCCTGCCTGCATTTTTTTGAAAATTTATTTTTATGTACCTGTGCCTGCAAGGACTGGGGAGCACCTGACGGTGAGATGATTCACCAGAGACAGCGTGGGGAGCAAAGCAGATGGATCGATAGAGTACACAGCTGTGGGGAGCAGAAGGCAGACCGGGGCGGTGCTATGCCATGGGGGTCACCTGCCCCCCTGAGAGCTAGCTCACGCCCAGTGGCTGGTGATAGCTCGACAGCGCTCCCCGCGCACCCAGGGTGGGCCCAAGGAGTCCTTGTCTTCATTTAGCTTCATCTCTCTTGTTTTTTGAAGTCACTATTGAAATCAGTGTGTTTCCTCAGAGCAGTCATGAGAAATTAGATCGCAACTCCCCTCATAGGTTCTGCCTCCCTGCTTGGGGCCTCCTTCCTGCTGTGACTCCCCATAGCTGACAGGACCCTGTGTGAGCCCCCCTGGGGTTCTCTCTTCTGTCCCTGAGGCCCGGCCTACCTGGGGGTGCCCTGGAGCTCCATGGTGACACAGGCTGTGAGGGACAGAGGACAGGGAGACGCAGAGGGAGCAGAGGGACAGGTTTGCACTTCCTACCTGCCCGGGACCCCAGTCTCCCCGACCCCCACATGCCCCCCCCAGGAGCTCCTCCAGGGTGACTGTCCTGAGCCCGGGAGCCGCCTGCTCACTCTGACCTGCTTCTCCCAGGGGAGCACAGGCCGAGGCCTTGGAGAACACTCAGTTCTCACCTGGGGTCTTCTCACCCGGGAGCCCCGATTCTGATTGCAGCAGCCCCTCTTGCTTTGGGGATCCATCCTGTGGTGTCCCTACTTGGTCAGTGTTGTCTGTCTCACTATCTTGACCCTGGGTATAGGGGTGCTCTGTTCATGTGGGATCTAAAACTGCTCCGGACAGCTGATTCCTGCACCCCATATTATTGGAGGTGCCTCAGGGAACATCCCTGCCTACTCCTCGCCTCCTGTGCTCTCCTCCTGTTACCTAATATCAGTCCTGTCGATTCTGTGTCTGCCATAGGCCATTGTGAAGTGAACATTCAAACCCTCTCATGAAAAGATACTACAAGTTTCACATTATTGTTAATTATAGCGTGATATTTTTTTTTTTT